CACCCTCCTGAGGTGGTGACCTGACACCGGGCTGGAAATGAGCCACAGTGGGACCTAAAAGGGAGGGGAGCTGCTGCTGAGGAGGCCTCGGGTTTGCCCTGAAGCAGCCTGCTGGAGTTCTGCCATCAGGGCTTACACCCTTGGGCTCTTCAGAATTACTCGGCTCATCATAATTCGGAAATAGAGGAAATTCATAAAATTTAAAAAGGAAAAGCAAACAGAACCTTTATCGTCAACAGATCAGAACAGAAGAAATCGGAGGCTAGTCAGAAATTAGGCTGTGACAGAAAGAAAACGGCCCACGGTATCGTTGGGGAGTGGAGCTCTGGTTTACCTTTTGGGTCAGGAGGGCCACGGAGCTTCATAATCATTATGTAATGCCACAGGAGAAAGCTCATGGAGCTGGGCTTCAACTAGTCAGAAGGGGTGTGGGCCTGGGGAGAAACATGTTCCGTTAGTACCATTGTTGTAGGTGCCATTAAGGATGCGTGTTTGACAATAGTCGAGCTAAAATGCAGACTCAGGGGCCTTGCGCCTCAGAAAGACAAAGTTGAGATAAATGTGGAGAGTTATATCTGAAACCCCTTTTTCTGAAGTGTACGGGGACCTGGGGGGTAGGGGGGAGCGTTATCCAAACTGCTTCTCAGGGTGAAATGACTGTGTGCCTCTGATGCTTCAGGCAAGAGTGAGATGTTCCATTCTCATCAAAATAATTCCCAGCAGCAGTTTCTCATAATCTATGATTTCAGAGACAAGGTTTATCAGCACTGTGTCCTTCATGGTAATTAACAAAAGTTCTTCGGTTTTGTTCGTGTGTTTTTACAGATTTTCCTTCCTGCCTGAGGTAAAGACTTGGTGGTGGTGGGGATGTTACCCATTAGCGGGGTCCACAGAAAACCAAAATGTCCCCTATTTGAGAATGGAGCCATCTGCTCTTAGGCTTGGATTTTGTTTTCTGTCCGTGGTTGCTTTTTATTTATTTATTTATTAAGATTTTTATTTATTTTTTTGACAGACAAAGATCACAAGTAGGCAGAGAGGCAGGCAGAGAGAGAAGAGGAAGCAGGCTCCCTGCTGAGCAGAGAGCCCGATGCAGGGCTTGAACCCAGGACCCTGAGATCACGACCTGAGCCCAAGGCGGAGGCCTTAACCCACTGAGCCAACCAGGCGTCCCCGTGGTTGCTTTTTAAAAGGCAGAATCAGAAGGGGATGATGGTTTGATAATCTCTACCTTTGGGGTGCTGAGAACGGAGGGTTTGAAGCAACTTACTGAAGGAGTTGGGAATTATGAGTTAACCAGGGTCCTTGACTAAAAAGACTTCCTAAGATTATGAACCCTAATAACATCATTATGTTATTATGAACACACATCCAGGTGTGTTCATTCAGGAGCCTCCTGTTTGTAGCAGTCAGAAGGCTCCCACACTTGTTTCCTGGGGCTTAATGGGAAACTAGGCAGGAAGGAAGCTGCAGTCACAGAGATGTCCTCTGCAGCTAGCTCCAGTGACTGGGAAGAGGATAATGGTGTTACTGGGGGAGATAACATCAGAGGGGCCTCAGGGACCTGCTTCAAAGAAAATACACGGGTGGGGGGCGGGGGTGAAGAACAGAGCAGGTTGGGACAGAGCAGAACCCAGGGGTTAAACTACAGAAAGGCTGAGCAAGCTTCTCTGATGTACCCACACTTGACCATGGGGCACTTAACATCACCTCTGGCACATGATTGTTTAATAAATTAATGACTGAATACATATAGTCTGGGTACTGAGAAGTTTATGGAGTCCAACCTCCACTGAGTTTGTGCATCAGTTTCTTAGGACACTTGTGTGTCCTAATCTTCAAACCCATGAACCTCCTTTTGGTTGCAAAAGGAGGTTCATGGTTGCAAACCATGGTTGCATGGTTGCAAACATTGTCTTTGACAGAAGAAATACATTTCCCACAGAGAATGGATGTAGATGCTAAACACAATTCAATGTAATTGTATTTAAAAACATGGCTTAGGGGTGCCTGGGTGGCTCAGTGGGTTAAAGCCTCTGCCTTCAGCTCAGGTCATGATCTCAGGGTCCTGGATCCCTGGGCTTGAACCCTGAATCGGGCTCTCTGCTTACTGGGGAGCCTGCTTCCCTTCCTCTCTCTCTGCCTGCCTCTCTGCCTATTTGTGATCTCTCTCGGTCAAATAAATAAATAAAATCTTAAAATAAAATAAAATAAAGTAAAAGCATAGCTTAACTCACAGCAGCTTTTTGTCATATGTGGAAAGAACCACAATTTTTTAAAACAAAACCTCATTAAAATAAAAAAGGTTGGGACCACCACTTTCCAGCCTCAGCTAATGTTCTTCTATCATTTAAGTTTCATCTTTTCCCCCAGATTTCTACTGTTTCTGTCCTCAGGATACCACACAGAGAGAAGGGCTGAGATTAAAATTGCCTCCCTTACAGTTCCCATTGGTTACAGATACTCTAAGTATATTTCTATTTAAAAATTCTTTGGTCCTGTTTTACAAACTTCCTAATCAGAAGAGGGGTAAATCCTTTTGAAGAGAAGAGGAGTGGAGAGGGATCTGGCTCCTGTGACATATGTAGCACAGGTCCTGACTTGGGGGCAATGCTCAGTGGGCGGTTCTCATGGCCTGCTTTGTTAACACCCAGTACTGCAAGCACCTGGCCCTGTCTCAGTCATTCAGCTTCATCCAGCAGGACATGTCCAAACTTCATCAGCAGGTCTACAAGGAGCTGTGTCACTGCAAACAAAGCTTCATATCCCAGACCTCAAGCCCATTCATTAATGGGCATAGGGACACAGGGGACCCCTTCCTTCCCAAGAAACTCCAGTGCCTTTCCTCTCTTGCCTCTTCCCACCCAATTCCCTTTGGTTTGTCATATTTAAGCGTTAGAAGAGGAGAAACAAAGACTCATTATTTTATAAATGTAGGGGTAAGGCACCATCTTTCTCCACCCCGAGCTCCCTGTGGAGCACGTCGTCTGTGTTGCATGCTTTCTCAGATGTTTTGTGTTGGTCTGTCTGGCATACTCTTCATGCCATTAAGGACGGGGAGTCCAACCTGAATAAGATGAAGCACCGGACCTATGGTTTCAGGGCATCTGAGAACACTGCCACGGGCTTCTCCCTTGAAGGACCATCTGAGAGAGGAGGGGAGACACCTTAATGTTTAAGGTAGGTCCCACAGGGTGAATCTGAGTTCATCTTGTGAAAAGGTGGAGGCAGGGCACTCTAAAAATGGAATAGCATGTACAAAGCTTGGCATTGAAAGGTTATGGTATATTTGGAAAACAGCAAAAAGAAGATGAGGCTAAAATAATTCTAGTAGATGACATAGCATGAAGGGAGGAAAAAGTAGAGATGAATTGGTGACAGAACTGATGGGAGCTCAGACTGAGGAGGTGGGAATGAAGACCAGAAGTTGAATTAAAAAAAAAAAACAAAACCCTTTGGAGGTAGCATAAACAGCTTTGACAATGGACTAGTTATTGCCAGGAGATCCTGGAGTGAATGTAACCCAGAGTTTAGGATATGGGAATGATGATCCATTAAATAAGATGGCAAATACAGATGGCAAATCAGGTTTGGGATGTTCAGAGAAAAGGGTAGTAACATGGAGCTGATGGCAAAATCATCAGGAGGAGCACCAAATCCAAGCATATGTTCTGGGAAGTGGTGGTGAAGAGGGTAAGACTTAACTTTTATCTGGAAAACTGTATTTGCTCTTGGCCTAAACAACACCACAGAGAATGTACAGGAAGGACTGATCTGATAAGGAAGTTTTCCAAATGGTCCTTTACACCTCAGCCTCCCACCTCACCCCAGCCCAGAATAACAAGATTTTCTTCATGGGATTTCAAATTTGCAAGGGAATCTTGATAATTTTCTTGGTAATGGGCAATGAGTAGGAAATTTTATGTCCTAATTCCAGTAATTATTGCAGGATTTATAAGCATAATGGTCAAGAAAGAATTCTTTTTTTTTTTTTTTAAGATTTTATTTATTTGTTAGAGAGAAAGAGAGTGCACGTGGGAGCACAGGCAGACAGAGTGGCAGGCAGAGGCAGAGGGATAAGCAGGCTCCCTGCCGAGCAAGGAGCCTCGATGTGGGACTCGATCCCAGGACGCTGGGATCATGACCTGAGCCGAAGGCAGCTGCTTAACCAACTTAGCCACCCAGGCGTCCCAAAAAAGAATTCTTGAGACATTTTACAGTGCAACTTAAATTAAGTTTATTTAAGTAGCTGGGGACAGGACTGGTGGGCAGAAAGAGCCGCACTTTTGCTGTATGAAGCTGGTCCTTCTATGCATCATGCTCAAGGGGGAGAAGCGGAAGGGAATGTGCAAGGACTAATCATAAATGTCTTCTTCGAACTTCTGCTTATAAACACTACTTTCGTAAGACTTCTTTGTTGCTTATCATTCAACTAGATACTAACTACTGGTGAGAAGTATAGGCAGTGATGAGACGCTTAAGAAGGTAGCAACTAGTAGTATTTGATCCTTATCGGAACTATGAAGGCTATATATAGGCCAGCCTTTTGGGCTAAAGGGAAACAGTCTTTGCTTCTGTCCCTCACCATAGTCAACAGCAGCAACTTCCATACATTCTGTACCAGCTGTTTTAGGTTTTGCGGAGACCACGTCAAAACAAACATTTCTGCTTTCGTGCGGCTTACATTCCTGTGGAGGAAGACATTTTTTAAAAAGAGACAGCGGATACCATAGCGCATTGCACTACAACGTAGGGAAAGCAAGGGTTGGCAGTCAAATAACTAGCCCTTCCACTCCCGCAAAACCTAACCCCCAAATCAGCCCTTCCGGGTCACCGCCGGGCCCACGGGCACTCGGACTCCGCCCCGCTCCGGGCTCTGGTCCCGCCCACGCCCCTTACGTCAATTTTCGAGGCCTTGACGCGTTGGCCTAGCCAATGAAAAGCCGACCTGCTCGGGCTCCATTAAGGCCCGCCGGGTGAGTCGTCGCTCGGGAAAACGGATGGGCTCTGTAAGCTGTGTGGCGCGGCGATTTGGGTCGCTGCTGTGGCGCAGGGCTCTGTCCCCGGGAGCGGTGCTCTCGGCGGGCTGGGGGCCACGGCTTTGTCTGCTGGCCGCGGGTCGGCTTAAGGCGGGACCGGCGTTGGGCCTGGCCTGCCTGAGCCCCGACCGCGCGCGCGGCCTGCACGGCGGACCGGGCTTAGAGGAGCGGGCGGAGGGGGCAGCTGGCCAGAAGCGCCCGGAGACAGGCACAGCAGGTACCGGCCTGGAGGAGGGCGGCGGGGGCCCCTGCCGGCAGCCGGGAGCTGGGTCTCGGCCGAGGAGCCTCTGAATTCTCTTGTTTATGCCTTTCCCTTGGAGAAGGGAAAGATCTTTTTTCCAGAGCGGGAAAGATGTTCAGAGATGTTGGCACCAGCTTTGCGTTTAACGCGGCGAGAGAGAAACTAATGTCTCCAAAACCCCAGACGTCTGAGTGGCCGCATCGGACCCTTGGCATCACAACCTCACTGTCCTCAGCTGCCTTCGCTCTTCCTAGAGTCCCGAGAAGCGGACTTGCCGAAAGTGTTGGGGCGTGAGGATTCTGAGGAATGGCTGGGTCTGGGGCCTGAGAGGTGCATAAGAAGCTCTAATAGGGGACGGCGCCAATTGAAGTTCCTCTAATTACTGCAAGTTTTTAGAAATTTGAGAGACTGTAAACAGATCTCATCTGTGAAAGGTTGGGGTCTGAGAGGGAGAGGTCTTGGTGGACTTAGCCACCAGGTTCTTGGGAGTCAGCTTTAGAATGTAAGAGAGCTTTAAATTTACAGGTTCTAATACTCCAAGGTAAAGAACAGAATATGCAAATCTCTACAGAAAAAAGAAAGTTAAGTTTTCACAGATAACAGTTGCTACATAATCCAGATGGCTTTAACAAGAAAATTGAGCCTTCAAAATGAAGATCAATGTTAAATTTTTAGCTCTCATTGGTTGGCGTGGGTCGTGTTTGTTTATTCTGCTAGGCCTCATTTTCTTCATCTCTCATGTGTTAAGATTGTGGAGCAGATGCTACTACCTAAGAGGCTTTTCAGCTCAGCTGTGTATGTTTGAGGTGTGTTCCTCAATATTAGTGAACAGAAAGTCATTTGTTGTGGATGTTCAGTTTTACTTGAATGTGGTAATATCGAAGAATGTATGGTGGCTCTGTGTAACCTGAACATTCACTCTTACCATAAAAGTTGAGCGATGCTGTATGAAACCACTGCCCAGGTTTAGCTTCCAGGAGGCCTGGACGTTTCTGTCTTTCAAAACATTTTAGATCTCAACACCGTCATCGAGGAACAGTTTCATTGTTAGCTGCTGCATCTGGATGCATACAGAATCTTCTGTTTGGCCACCTGACACAAGTGAATCTTTGTGCATTTCAGATCATACTGGTCCCAAGTTTGACATCGATATGCTGGTTTCACTTCTGAGGCAAGAAAATGCAAGAGACATTTGTGTGATCAAGGTTCCTCCAGAATTGAAATATACAGATTACTTTGTGATTGGTAGTGGAACTTCCACCCGACACTTGCATGCGATGGCCTACTACATTGTCAAAATGGTAGGATGCTTTCTTTTGTCTTTGGAATCATTCACTTAATGGAAGAGTGTCAGGGCATCATGCTGACGAGCAACACTTGAAAAGTACATCCATCATGAAGTGATGTAAGAAGTCCAGATTCTCAGTATTTGCCTGAGTGTTTGATGTTCCTTGATAGTGACAAGGAGACAAATGAGTCAGGATATTTCTAATTCTTGTCTTTCTCTTTTTTTTAGATTATTTATTTATTTATTTGACAGAGAGAGAGAGAGATATCACAAGGAGGCAGAGAGGCAGGCAGAGAGAAGAAGGGAATCAGGCTCCATGCTGAGCAGAGAGACCAATGTGGGGCTTGATCCCAGGATCATGACCTGAGCCGAAGGCAGGGGCTTTAACCCACTGAGCCACCCAGGCACCCTCTAATTCTTGTCTCTTGTGGTCATTGAATGAATGGATGAATGAATGAATAAAAAAATATAAAAAATATAAAACAATTTGAGGCAGGCTAGAAGACAGTATAACCCAGAGGAAATCTAGAGTAGCACTGTTCATTATGGTAGCCACTAGCCACATGTGACTAATTATAAATTAAAACTTCAGTTCTTCAGCTGTACTAGCCATATTTCAGGTACTTGGTAGCCACATGTGGCTAATGGCTACCATATTGTACAGCACAACTATAAAATGTTTCCATAATTGCAAAAAGTTCTTTTGGACCATGTTGGCCTGTGGTTTAATTCAAATGTTTGAATGTGTCCAGTGTTTCCAAGCACTGTGGTGGGTATTGGAAGGATGAAAAAATTTAGTCCTCACCCTCTGAATTCATAGGTCTAATTGAGGAAAAGGAAGACCGTTCATTTTCTAATTAGACTGAACAGGAATCAGAGTGAGGAATATACTTGGAGACCTTTAGTTGATTCTGATAATACTCTACAGGGGAATATAACCTCTCTCAGCTTGTTGAAAATTGGTCATAAAAGGTATGGTTAAGACCAAAACAAAAGTTAGGTTTGCCTAGAGAAGGGTGGTAAAATAAGAAGGGGACTGAAAACAGAACCTTGCTGCAATATGGCAAAGCAAAGGGAGATGCCAAAGAAGGAGTAGTTGGAGAGATAAGAAAGAGAACCAAGAGGGCATAGAGAAGAGTTACAAGACAGGGTCCCAGGATCTCTGTTAGAGAGCTGTTAGATGTTCTGGTGGGACAAAGGAAGATGAAGACTTAGAAGTGACCTCTGTGCTTGGAGATATAAAAGGAATGAGAGGTTTTACGTTTTAAGCATTTCACCATTTTTTAAGATGTGCAGTTAAGTGGCAGTGGTTACATTCACATCAGTGTGCTGTGATTTACCACCATCCATCCCCAGAATGTTTTTTATCTTGCAAAACTGAAACTCTCTACATTAAGCAGTAATTTCCCATTCTCCCTCTGTACCCTGGCAACCACCATTCTTTCTTTCTGAATTCAATGCAGTACTTCATGTGAGTGAAATCATACCCTGTTTGTCCACTTATGACTGGCTTATTTCACTTAGCAAAATGTTTTCAGGGTTCATCCATGTGGTGGCTTGTGTTGGAATTTCATCTTTTTAAGACTGTATGTTACTGTATGTATAGATCACATTTTATCTGTTCATCTGTTGATTTTCATTTGGTTTGCTTCCACCTTATGGAGATTATGAATATTGCTGCCATAAACGTGAGTGTAGAAGTGTCTGTTCATGTCCCTGCCTTTAATATCAGGAGCGGAATTGCTGGATCCTGGTAATTCTGCTTTCAGTTTTTTGAGGAGCCACCATGTTCTTTTCTTTAGTGGCTGCACCACTTTACATTTCCACCAGCAGTTCAGAAGTGTTCCGGTTTCTCTATATCTTTGCAAACACTTCCTAGTTTCTGGGTTTTGGATCATAGTAATCCTAATGGGTGTGAAGTTGCATCTCATTGTGGTTTTGATTTACACTTCCTTAATGATTAGTGATGTTGAGCATCCACGTACGTGTTACTGGCCATTTGTATGTCTTTGGAAAAAGGCCTAATGAAGTCTTTTGTCTGTGTTTTAATCAGGTTGGTTTTTTTGTTGTCATCATTGTTAAGTTGTAGTTTTGTATATATTGTGGATATTAATCCCAAAACAAATACGTGATTTGTAAATATTTTTTTTGTTCTTTAGGTTGTCTTACTGTTGATAGTGTCCTTTGATGCACAAAAGCTTTTAATTTTGTAAAGTCCAGTTTATCTTTTGTTGTGCCTGTGCCTTTGGTGTCCTCTCCAAGCAGTCATGCCAAATTCAGTGTCATGTGTCAGGAAGGCTTTCCACTGTGTTTTCTTCTAAAAGTATTAGGTCCTATGTTTAGGTCTTTGATCGGTTTTTAGTTTTTGTAGATGGTATAAAGTAAGGGTCCAGCTTTGTTCTCTTGCACGTGGATGTGTAGTTTTCCCAGCCCCGTTTGTTAAAGACTGCCCATTTCCCACTGAATGAACTTGGTACCCCTGTTGAAAATCGCTTGATTGTGTGGGCTCTTTCTTTTATTCCATTGGTCTCCCTTGCTCACTGTTTTCAAGATTTTATATATTTATTAGAGCACAAGCAGGGTTGGGGGTGGGGCAGAGGAAGAAATAGGCTCCTCACTGAACAGGGAGCCTGAGGTGGGGCTTGATACCAGGACCCCAGGATCATGATTTGAGCCTAAAGCAGGTGCTTAAGCGACTGAGCCACCTAGGTGCCCCACCCTTTTTAAAGATTTTTATTTATTAGAGAGACAATACAGAGGTGGGTGGGTGGGCAGAGGGAATCTCAAGCTGACTGTGCTGAGTGCATAGCCTATCCCATGGCACAATCTCAAAACTCTGTGATCATGACCTGAGCTGAAACCAAGAGTTAGATGCTTAACTGACTTGAGTCACCCAGGTGCCTTGCTTGCTCACTGTTTTGATTACTGTAGCTTTGTAGTTAGTTTTGATAACAGTAAGTTGAGAGCTCCAACTGTGTTCTTCCTTTACAAGACTGTTTTTGGCTATTTGGGGTCCTTTTAAATTACATATAAATTTTAGGATGGACTTTTCTACTTCTGCCAAAAAAAAAAAAAATGTCACTGGGATTTTGGTAGGGATTGCATCGAATTTGTAGATAGCTTTGCCTGGTACTGACATCTAAACAATTTAAGTTTTCTAGTTCATGAACACAGTGTCCGTTTAATTGATGTTTTATTTAATTTCTTTAGCAACATCTTACAGTTTTCAGTGTACAAGTCTTTTGTCTCCATGGTTAAATTTATTGGTAAGTATTTTATTTATGATTCCATTGTAAATGGAATTCTTAGTTTCGTTTTCAGGTTATTGATTAGGTAGTGTATAGAAACATAGCTGATTGGGTATGTTAATTTTGTATCCTACAACTTTGCTGAAATCATTTATTTTAACATATGATTTTGTGGAATCTTTAGGGTTTTATGTATGTAAGTCATGTTGTCTGTAAACCGTGATAATTTCATTATTTCATTTCCAATTGGATTACCTTTTTTTTTCCCTCCCTTGCTCTTATTTATCTGGCCAGAACTTCTAGTACTATATTGAATAGAAGTGGCAAAAATGGGCATTCTTGTCTTGTTCCTGACCTTAGAAGAAAAACTTAGTGTTTCACCATTGAGTAGGACAATAGCTGTGGGCTTTTCATGTATGATCTTTATTATCTTTTAGTATTTTTGTCTTTGAGTATTTTTGTCATGAAAGGGTGTTGAATTTTGTGAAATGCTTTCTGCATAAATTTGAGATGATCCTGTGGCTTTTGTTTTTCATTTTGTTAATGTGGTTTATTATACTGATTGATTATGGAACTATCCTTCCACTCCAAGCATAAATTTCACTCAGTTTTGTTGTATATCCTTTTAATATACTGTTGAATTGGGCTTGCACATAATTTATTGAGGATTTTTGCATCAGTGTTCATCAAGAATACTGGTCTATAGTTTTGTTTTTTTGTAGTGTCTTTGGCCTTGGTTTCAGGGTAATGGTAGTTGCATAGAATGAGTTACAAAGGATTCCCTTTTCAGTTTTTTAGAAGAGTTTGAGAAGAATTTGTGTTAGCTTTTGTTTATTCATTCATTCATTTATTTGTTTTCAGCTTTGGTTTAAATGGTAGAATTCATCTGTGAAACCATTTGGTCAGGGCTTTACTTTGTTAGGAGATTGTTCGGTCTGGTCTTGTTTGTTCATTCTTTCTTTTAACTGAGATATAATAGTGTTTGGAGGTTTTCTTTTCTTTTCTTTCTTTTTTTTTAAATTAACATATAATGTATTATTTGCCCCAGGGGTACAGGTCTGTGAATCCTCAGGCTTACACAATTCACAGCACTCACCATAGCACATGCCCTCCCCAATGTCTATAACCCAGCCACCCCATCCCTACACCTCACCCCCAGAAATCCTGTTTGTTTCCTGAGATTAAGAATCTCTTATGGTTTGTCTTCCTCCCAATCCGGTCTTGTTTCACTTTTTCCCTCCCTAGCCCCCACAATCCCCCCACCCTGCCTCTCAAATTCCTCATATCAGAGAGCTAAAATTGTCTTTCTCTTATTGACTTACTTTGCTTAGCATAATACCTTCTAGTTCCATCCATGTCATTGCAAATGGCAAGATTTCTTTTTCGATGGCTGCATAGTATTACATTATATATATTTTTTATACACACACACACATACACGCCACATCTTTATCCATTCATCTGTTGGTGGACATCTAGTTTCTTTCCATATTTTGGCTAATTGTGGACATTGCTGCTATAAACATTTGGGTGCACGTGCCCCTTCGGATCCCTACATTTGTATCTTTAGGGTAAATACCCAGTAGTATGATTGTTGGGTCACAGCGTAGCTCTATTTTCAACTTTTTGAGGAACCTCCATACTGTTTTCCAGAGTGGCTGTACCAGCTTGCATTCCCACCAACAGTGTAGGAGGGTTCCCCTTTCGTGTTTGGAGGTTTTCAATTACTGATTCAATCCCAATTCAGTCTTGGTAAATTGAGTTGATAGGAATTTGTCCATTTTGTCTAAATTATCCAATTTGCTGATATATAGTTCATATTATTCATCATGCCTTTTTTAAGAAGTAATGCCCCCGGGGCACCTAGGTGGCTCAGTGGGTTAAGCCTCTTGCCTTCAGCTCAGGTCATGATCTCAGTCCTGGGATCGAGCCCCGCATTGGGCTCTCTGCTCCGCAGGAAGTCCACTTCCTCCTCTCTCTCTGCCTGCCTCTCTGCCTACTTGTGATCTCTCTGTAAAATAAATAAATAAAATCTTTAAAAAAAAAAAAAAAGTAATGCCCCCTTGGATTTTAGTTATTTGGATCTTCTGTTTTCTCTTAGTAAGTCTAATTAAAGATTTGTCAGTTTTATCTTTTTCAAGGCCCAAATCTTGGTTTCATGGTTATTTGTCAGTTTTGGTTATCTCTGATCATCGTTTCCTTCCTTCTGCTAGCTTTAAGTTTAATTTCTTTACTTCCTAGTTAAGGTGTAAATTTAGGTTGTTGATTTGGGAACTTTCTTTTTTTCATGGAAGCATTTGTAACTATAAATTTCCCTCTTCACATTACTTTTACTATATCCCATTAAGTTTTGGTATGTTGTATTTTAATCTCATTTGTCTCAAGATATTTTCTAATTTCCCTTGTGATACCTTCTTTGACTTACTGTTTTTATGGCTTTTCTGTTTTTCCTTTTGTTGCTTTCTGGTTTCATTTCATTGTGATGAGAAAATATACTTTGTGATTTCAGGCTTTTTAAATTCATTGAGTTGTTTTGTAGCCTAACATATCTATCCTGGAGAATGTTACATGTGCACTTCAGAAAAATGTGTGTTCTATTTTGGATGGAATGTTCTGTTAATGTCTATTAGGTCCAGTTAGCCTGTAGTGTTGTCCAAGTCATCTATTTCCTCACTGGTCTTTTTTTTTTTTTTTTAATCCATTATTCAAAATGGAGTACCGGGTCACCTACCTGGGTGGCTGAGTCGTTAAGCGTCTGCCTTCAGCTCAGGTCATGATCCCAGGGTCGGGGATCAAACCCCACATCCGGCTCCCTGCTCAGTGGGAAGCCTGCTTCTCCCTCTCCCACTCCCCTTTCTTTCTATCTCTGTCAAATAAATGAATAAAATCTTTTAAAAAAAAAATGGAGCATTAAGTCTTCCATATTATTGTGTTGTCCTCTGTTTCTCCCTTCAGTTCTATCAATGTTTGTTTCCATATGTTCAGGAGTTCTGATTTTTGGTGCATGTTTATTATTGTTAAATCATCTGGAGTATTGAACCCCTTTATCACTGCATTAGTATCCTTGTCTCTTGTAATAGTTTTTGATTTAAAGTCTGTTTGTCTGATACTAGTGTATTGGGTGTTTTGGACCATTCATAAGACCTATTGAGAATAGAGCCATGGGATGGTAAAATCCCATGAATATTGTCCTGAAGGTGATGTAGGTGAGGACCAGATGTTGAATGAGCTTGGTCCTCTTTGCCTCAGACACACCTTGGTGGATATGAGTAGAATGGCCCTTTCAGAAGGGATTGGGTAGTAGGTATTCAGTAGAGAAGAGGTATAGGAGGGTAGGTAGGATTTGGGTGTGGGGGAGGAATAGTTTCCTCAACTTACTATGGAGTATAGTTAACTTAGGAACTAGCCTACTCATTCCTCTTATGATCAAGAAAAATACCCCCACAGACCATCCTCAGTGAGAAGAGACTTCCTCCACCTCTCTCCTAATATATAATCTGGCTTTTTTCAGTATAAATACCTGAAATGTAAAAGTGAGCCTCATGTTAAGATTGAAGGGAAGGACACTGATGACTGGCTCTGTGTGGACTTTGGTAAGTTATTTTGACATATGTTGCAGATAAGTATATATTTTGTCCTAATCTTGAACTATTTTCAGTTGTAAAAGGATTGAGATCAGATTGTTTTTCATGTGATATTTTTTGATACTTGTTTAAAGTTTTAATTATAACCCAGGAGGTCTTATTAACATGTGAAAACCTCACCTAATGTGTAAGTATATAACTAGCCACGCAGTTCAGAAAGATGGTGGAGAACAGGGTAGATAACGTGGTAGAGGTGGGAGAGATATATAGAAGGCTTGGAGTATACATAACGTTGGCCCAGAAGGACTCAGATGAAGCGAAGGTCAAGGACCTTTCAGGTACTGAGAAGGACAAGAGCAGAGGACTGGAATTTTGAAAAGACCTAACAAATTTGGGTATTAATATATATATGTAAGTATTTCATAAGATCTGTATTATAAAGGAAAAAACAGTAATTGTCAAGGATTGTGAAGGGTCTGAGATTTTATAACTAACAAGTTAGCGTCCCAGTTTCATGGGCACTGGTGAAAGACGCAAGGCTATTCCTGGGTTAGAGATGGACAGTTTTATTACTCATCACAGTAACAGTAGCCAGCAGCAGCATTCGTTGTTTTTGTTGTTTTCATCAGCTTCCCTGAGCCCATTTTCTATAGGTAGAGAAACACCGGGGTAGATGACATCTGCAAAGTTCTGAGAGAGGAATCCTGAGATTAGGCTAGCACATCTTTTATAATGGGCAGGAAGTAAACCCACATTTGCTGTGTGTGGCGGAAGACACTTTCTCTGCTAAGGCTGTTAGGCCAGGGTTTCTGTGCTTTGTCACTCTTAACATTTTGGACCATGTGATTCAGGTGGGAGTGGGGAGATAGATCCTGTGCATTGTAGGATGTTAGGAGTCTCCCTTCTCTCCAGCCTCATTTGTAAAAATAAAAAATGTCCTGAGACCCGCTTCTCTAAGTAAACCTGTCCTTTGCTCTGGAGGGACATGGCCTCTTTCTGAGACTATTCACAGCCTTGAAAAGACAGTCTAGAAGAAAAGGCAATCCATGCTTTGCTCAGAGTATATTCAGAAATGGGATATCCACTGAGAGTGAAGTAATCACCAGGAATGTTACATATTGATACCGTGTCCTTCTCTTGTATAAAGCACTGAGAAAAGCAGAACATCATTTCTATGGCATTTCTGTAGGAAAGGTATCCATAATTTGCATTTCTAGTAAATTGCCTGGTAGTCCTAATTTGGATATGGATCCATTCTTTGACAATCACTGTTCTATCACAGAGGTTTGTGAGAGCACAAGAATAAAAGCTAATGAACTGCTTCTTTAACTCTTATCTGTCCTTTATTGATAGGCAGCATGGTGATTCATTTGATGCTTCCAGAAACCAGAGAAACCTATGAATTAGAGAAATTATGGACCCTACGTTCTTATGATGACCAGTTAGCACAGATAGCACCTGAGACATTACCTGAAGACTTCATTCTTGGAATAGAAGATGATACTTCATCCCTGACTCCAGTGGAGTTCAAATAAGAATAAAATAATATCAACTATTTTGTCATTATCAGATTTGGATTGAGTTACTTCTTAAAAATACAGCTGTGAAATCCCACCTGATTGGTCAGGTTGTTGTCCAAAGCCTTATCTGTGGGCATGCATGCTGAGTGTGGAAATTGTGGGTAAGTGAGCTGATTCTTACACCAAGAATCAGTATATTTAAACTAAAATTTTAGTACATTGTTTTTATTTCTGATATCCCAGCAGGATTTCACGGAGTTAGTATTGGCCTCTATGCTCTGCTCACAGTTTAGTTTTGCCTCAGTGTAAATCTTATTCTGTAGATGGAATAGCCATTTTTTTTTTAAATAAAGCAAACAGCACATCACCACCCTACTAGTCTTATTACTTAAAACGTACAGTCCTTACTTCAAAAGCAGCACCAATAGTATCAGGATCCACAGTAAGTACTACAGAATGGAGAAAATAAGGTAAGCACCAACATCGAGTGGTAAATTAAGATTGACATAGTATTACTAAAAATATATTTGTTTATAGTTCGATTAAATTTGAACATTCACATTTATTTGAAAAACCAGAAATAAAATATGCCATACGCCAGGCTGCACCTAATGATGAAAAACTTTATTCTGCATCAAGGTATCTGGAAAATGAAGCTGCATTTGGGGCACATTACAGATGAGGAATGATCCATGTGCGGTGAGTACAAAACTCAATTACAGAATTAGATACTCCATTACCATTGCTTAATTAAAAGTAAAACATGATTTGCCACACTAAAAGGCTAGTAGTGAAATATGACAATTTTAAACCAGCAGATATAAATGCAGCACCTATCTGTATGTATGTATGTATGTGTATATATATATATATATATACGTATGTGTATATATATATATATACATACATATATATATATACATATATATACATATATATATATATATATATAAAACAACAACAACAAATATGGGAAAAATCAAACACTGAGGAAGAGCTCTGGCCTAAGCACATCTCACCTGAAATCCAACCAGAAAGCCAGTCTATGATTTTATTTTTGCAATTCATCATATGAAAAAATTATGAATGCTAAGTGAATTAATTGTATGACAAAGGGCACTTTTTGGCTAAAACTACAAAATAAACTGGTTTTCTGAAAACATTTAGGAAAACATTTCAAGTCATTTCAAAATGTCTAATTGATAACAGTGATCTTCAGAAAAACTTATCTAGTCTGTAGAAATTCATCCTGAAATACAAAGGAGGCCATATTTTTCAAAGGCTTATTATATATGCCCTTAAGATCAGTGTAATAAGATGACTGATCATTAAATTTACAAAAGCAAAAAACAATTCTGAGAGCAGTGTGGCCTTGGAGACCACCCACACCCACATAATTGTACATACTGGGCTTTGCCATCAAGTTAAGGAATGGGTATATGAATTCAGTATCCTGTATCAAAGGTCAAATGTGTTCTCACAGTCATTCAAATTATATCGCCGAAATTATTTTCTAGTATCCTCTACTTTTTGACTTATTTTCAAATAATTGGTTGCAGAGAATACAGAAATCCTGCTGTATTTTATGTAATATTTTAGGTGGCCTTACATTTTTCTTGATTTATCATTATTTAAAAATCTTCAAAATAGCTTAGTGAGGCTCATGACAGTGCCTGGCACATGGAGATGTAGCCTTGATATTGCCTTTGAACACTGCCCCACCATCTGAGTACCCCATTGGTCTTCACAAAGCAGTTCTGTTGGGGTCTGCTCAACACGTAGACTGACTGGTCTGAAGTGTGTTGGCAAACTAAGCATCATCCTGTAAGACAAGCTGAAAGCTTGCTTTTTGGCCAGTCAGTTTCAGGTCCACAGGGGCTGCATCTCTTCATTAGATAGTGATAGTCTAAAGCACAAAGCATTTTTATGCATTTAATCACACAGCCAAACAAAAAAACTGAAGTCTTCTGAAGCCATTTCAACTAGCCGTTCCAAAACCTCCTGCAACCACTTTGCTCTGTTAGTACCATCGAAAAGGTTCCCTACCATAAACAAAAAATTAAATGGTATTGCTGCTCTCCAAATATAGGCACTGCTCCATATCACTGAACATTTATTAGATTTTCCAACTAATGGTGTCAAAAGCCTCAAAAACCTGAAATTAATTTTCCAGCTTTACAGTCACTAACCAGAAGTAAAAATTTTCTGTTATTCTCCTGTTAGCTAATTAAAGTTTTTTAAAAAACTGTTGGACTTTTATCTTTATAAAGTATATAAAATTTCAGAACAAAAACAAAAACAATTTTGCTTTCATTGCATTACTGAATACCTGAGGTAGTTGAGTAAAAATGCACGTTTAATACCCCTGCCAACACCATTCAGCACTTCCCTTAGGTTATTCATGTTAGTGTTACATTAAAAATAAAACTGACAACAGTTTTTCTATGCTAATAGCTTAACATTTAAGTTCCTATAATCATTCTGTTCTGATCCAATTTTAACAATTGGATTTGGGAGCAATCTATATTTTATTAATTTAGTGACTGCATCATTACGCCAATTTCTGGCATTAGGAGGGTATAGTAAGGAAAATTAGAATATTTGTTACACTGAGAATACAACAAAAGGGAAGTGCAGAGTTCCTCTTTTTCCCTCCCTCCCCCCCTTATTTTTTTTTTTTTTTTTTTTTAAAGCTGGGTGTCATACATTTTAGAGAGCATAAAGTATACATTCTCACAGAGACAGGAGTTCAAAAGTTGCCTGGTCCTCAGAAACAACTGGCTAGGTAAAAACTTGTGCACGTAACTCTGGATATTAGGGGTTCAGTGCCCGTCTGTTGGTTAAGCAATCGGTCTTTGGTTTGGCATCTGCCTCTGTGGTGGGCTGGTTCCTGAGCCTTTACTTCCGTCTTGACTGAGGTGGTCCACTTTGCAGAGCTTTCTGCTGTTGGTGCTGTTTTACCTGAGTCAAAATTTCCTGAATTTTTCTCTGGGCAACCTGCAAAAGGAGAGAGATTTGAAATTTCTACCTAATCAGAGGTTACTAAAAGTTATTTTACTCTTCCATTTGAACAACTTCAGATTTGAAGGTTAAAGATACATGCTAGTTTAAGTTTGCTAGTAGAGTCTGAAATTACCTGCTAAAAAGGGATTTATCCTGTTAAGCACCAAACAACATTAAATCTCTATGTGGGGTGGGGGCACACCCACAGGAGAATTGCTTCCGTTTGGGAAAGAAGCAAAAGAGCTTGCTTAGGACATGAGATCCCACTTGCCTGGCAAGCATAGAAGTGACCAGTTATTTTCACAACCACTTGGTCATTCTCATCAGGTGTCTGGTCACGAGGGACAACTACTTCTGCACTTGACAAATTCTGGAGCTCATTCACCTGAACAAGATAAGATAAGCAGAGATCATGTTAAATTGAGGTTTTAAAAAAATTACCATTTGCTGAGCACTTACTTTGTGGCTTTATAAATTTCATCTAATCCACTGATAATTCTATCAGGTTATCAGTTCTGTGCCCATTACAAAATGATAGTAAACTAAGACTTACCCCAAAAAACCGATTTGACCAGTTACACAAGTGAATGGCAGAACCAGAATGAATCCCTGAAAGTCTGATTCCAAAGTAAATGCTCTCAATTCAAAATTGTAAATAGCTTTGAAAGTTACATGTGCTAAAGAGAAACTGGAAACCACTTGCTTTTTTGTTAAAGAGGTAGGTTATAAAGATAGAGGACATTTAAAAAAGTTTTCTTTCCATCACTGTGCCAAAGTAAAAAGCTGAAGTTTACAGCAACCAAAAATGCTAAATGCCCCTTGTACATGAGACACTCCTCTCACATAAAGTGGTCTGAAAGCGAGACATTACTTTCACTAGTGGCTGACACCAACACTCAGGAAGAACAAAAGGCAGTGTTCTCCAAACCTTGGCCCAGATGATCCTGCTTTTTATAAATTAGCCCAAATTCAGGGACTTGGAACTCCTAAGTACCTTTCAACGCTTTCCCTTTCATACCACTGCACAGGTTTTGCTGAAGTACTTGCCGTTTTGCCTCCTTTTCCAATAACTCTGCCAGCAGCAAAGGATGGCACTCTGATATGAGCTTCAAGTTTCACCTCTTCTTTAGGACTAACAAAGTTTTCTTCTTTAATTTTTCCATAAATTCTTCCCTGAGCCTACAGATGAGAACATATCCTATCAGTGTCATTCATGAAGGGAAAGAAAGAAGGTCCATTAACTTCAGAGATGGCCCCAGTCCACTGGAATGGCCCTTGTCAGGGACACATCTGCAGGTGATAAGACTGTTGCAGATGGCCTAAGAGGCAAAGTTAGGAAGGTTCACAGTAACAACCAGGCACCACAGAGGTGGCAGCTGAATGACTGAAGAATACGATTTATTCTTTGAACAAAAAGAGCTAAAGGCAATCAGTACTCAGCTTAACTAAAAATAAATCATTGTTGTGGGCAAATAGTCATTTGCCCCCTGATCCTAAAAGGTAAAACCTTTCCTGCTTTCAGTAAGAAAGTAATTGTGTTTTTCTGGAGGATAAGAGATGGTAGGCTCACATCTGAAAGGACATTTTGTATTCAAACAGGTTTCTTCATCTTAGGCAAGTGGCTTCTACTCTGAATAATGAGGTGACAAAATCAGGTTAACACATACTTATGATATTAGTAGTCAACACATCTTGATACCTACTGCATACAACTAGACATTATATTAAGAAACTTCTTATTATGTACAACCATTAATTTGCTCTAGTATATACCAAAGGATAAAGAAGTCAGAGTTGGTTTAATCTGACAAGCTACGAGGGTAAATCCTAAAAACAAAAGTACCCAAAACATTTTAAATTTTCACTGGTGCAGAAATGGTAAGTTCCTTATAGGGGGTTACAGGAAAAACAAAATTCATCTTGGTACCCTATATTCCATTCATTCTCAAAGTCTAAAGCCACAGATCTAGGTATTAACACAAAGGACACAGGGATATACATCTCTTTGGAAAAAAAGGAAAAGCTCTCAGATTCATCAGAAAAAATACGGGTTAGGAGGTTTACCCCCCTTGGATCTCTAAAATAATTCACTTGTAACTATTACTGATCACATAAATATTTAAGCATTACAGCTTTTCTTAAGTAATTCCATTTAAGAGGACCATACCATCCCACATGGGCACTGAAGAACACAGGGAAACAAACTGAATTTCCCAACATACAATTATAGGAATTACAAGATAGCAGTTCCATTTATAAAAATGTAGGAGCTCAGCACCAAGAAGAAACATAAAATAATAGATGAACACAGACATCAATTAAGGTTTCAAACTAAAAG